CGCTAATTAATTAAGACAAGTTTTAAATTTCTTAACCTTGAATCGTGCGACGGGTGAGTCATCGATTTTAAATGCTTTTGCTCAGAGAATGAGTTCACATTTAGTTGTATGAACAATATGGGTTTAACAATTTTGATATCTTATGTCTTGCCCAAACCGTTTTTGTGTAATAAAATTTAATGTAATGTATTTAAGTTAATTACCTCGATTATCTAGACGTGCACATTTTGTATTCGTACCTATTAAAACACAAAGTTCACTATTACATTGAAGAATAACAAAATATGATTTTCTATCATACTCCATCTCTTAAAAGATATATCATTCGGTGTCAAAATGTAAAAATAATGTATTCGGAATTGGGCGTGTGGTCGAGCCGTCCAGACATAACTCAATTATAACTGAATGCCGAGAGGAGCTATGACCGATTGTGATTTATTTAATAAGTCATAAAAGAAAGTCAAAAGTAGAATTTTGTATTCCGTCAATGTACTGATTAATGTCCGACATTTAAATAATTTCCTATGACGCCAAACGGCGAAGTAAATCAAATGTTATACACATTGGCCACTCTTGATTTCAAAATCGATTTATTGATAAACTCCTTTTGTATCATTGGCTCTACCATCTAATATTATAGAACTATCTAATTCTTACCCAAGTCGTGTATTCTGGGCTTTAATAGTGCCGTAGCATCCAACTGCATGCAAATCGAATGATACAAATAAAAAAACTACCAGAATTCCATTATCGCATAGAATAATTATAATCTAACACAGTAATTTAAATATATTTATATTTTCTACATGTTTTGATGAGGTTTGGTGGACAATTATTTATGTATAATTAAAAAAATGTTTAATATTTAAGTAAGATTATCGAATAATAAAACACAAATCAATAATAAACAAGTGTTAACTTAATTAAACCACGCAGTGAAATATTTAGTGAACTGAATCATTCTTAAAGTATTATTGCCGAGTTGGAACTCTACTTAAATGTACTTAATTGATGAGAATGGTGTGAAAACAAGCATTCTTCCAATACAATTATTATTGGACATCACGTTTTAGTGGTCAACACACATTTTTTCCTGTCCTACAGTCACGAAACGTGAATATCTGGAAGAAAACAAAATCCCGGGCAACGGCGATGTAAGATCATCTTAATAATATATTCAGTTTTATTGCCGGTGACGATGGCATGGCAAAGAGGGTTAAACGGCGAACGTACACGGTCACGTACGGTGGAAAGGACAAGAATGGAAATACTATTATTTATTCATGAAAAAAAAAAAATACAGACAGAGAATTACAATAATAATAATAATAATGATGATGTAATGCTCAGAGACGTACCTACTTCCGATTTACTACGGACACCGCGTATCATTCCGTGTGTGTAGTACAAACTTGTACACAGTATAGGTATAATATGGAAAAAGAAGAAGAAAAAAACTTACCTACTCGCGTTTAACCCGTTTACAGTGTTTCTCTAAGGTCAGGGTTGTTTACAAATTACATGTAATTTTTGTTTTGCTCCACGATACGATTAAAATAATTTGGTGCGTTTTTTTTTTTGTCCGTTTATCATACGTTTTATTTTTGCTGCTCTCCGACCGACCGACCCGTTAGCGTTATTTAATACTCCAAAATAATCGTATATTATAATTTATATATTATATGTTGTCCTCGTATTATAAGAAACCTTACCGAGACTGTATTGATTGATATTATTTATCTAGTGTAATACATTTGCAGGAGGGTATACCTATTATTTCGCACAAGAGCAATATACTACAACTTATTATTTATAACTATAACTACCATAATATATACACAAATATAGGTATATATGGTATACTGGAAACGCTTTCGTTTTCCTTGTAACGCACTAATAGATATTATATCGGACAGATTTATAATACAAAAATTGCAAGTATGACGACGACGACGATGAGTACAGCTTGTACAATGTTATGTAATTTCTGAATATTTTTTTAATATAATATATATTTTAATTCGAACAATAGACAGATAAATCACGACATGCGCGCTAGCAGATGACGATACTGGACTCGAGTCTAGACTCTATATTATGTATATAAATAAATATATTATCCTCCTCTCAGTATACGACTCGTACTCATACTTATATTGCATTATGTGTATGCTCAAATACAATATGCGAGTATACCGGGTGATTCACCGACCTCGAGTGGACTCACAATTTCCACACAGACAAAACGACCTGCAGTCGGTGAATCACCACCCTGTACTCGCCTCAAGTTCAGGCATCAGCATTACAAACAATATAATATAAACTTTATTTATAGTTGGTCCACGGGGTAAGTATGTCCACCGCGTACATACATCAATAGTTTATAATGTGCACACATTTATATTATGCTACATATTCTCATCTGCGCCGGGCACAGCGTCTCCGAGCCGTGGTCGTCGTGCGGTCCTGCTCATGTCACTTCCCTAAGGCCTATTGCCTTACTATGTTGCACTATTTTTCATAACGAAATGAAAAGAAAACCGTCTGGCTACAAGCAGTTTCGGCTCGAAGCGAGTTCTTATTAAAATTGGTGTTTGTGGTGTTGCGACCGTCAAAGTCGCCTGACGTTTGTTACTTTTACAGTTTTATAAACACGCCGTGAAGTCATACGCGTATATTCTGCTAAAATAGCAAAAATCAGTTTCTACTCTCAAAATAAATATGCTAGGCACTGCATTACTTTTATATAAATAGCGAAGTAAAAATAAAACTACACATTTTACCTAAAAAAATGTCTTATCTACTTTTGTAAATAAATAAGACTTTATGAACCTCAACGAGTGTTAGATTAACAGTATAGCTACTTTTAGTCTAAATTAAATGGAAAAGAGATTTGTTGGCAGCAACAATTAATATATTTTAGGGGAGTTTAACGCTCTAGTCCAACACTTTTTAAGGGAATTTTTTGCACAATTGAAGGATGCCATTTTTTAGGTCGATTATTTTATGTAAGTATATAATATTTTGAATAAGCGAATTAAATTTACTACAGGAATCGAAACGTTTTATTGATTTTGTGAAAAAGCGTCACATAATATTAGACAGCCTTAACGATTTGGTCAGCACTATTATAAACTAAAATAGGTTCTCGGTGTTCACCGGCACGAAGAGCATGTATTCGTGGCAAAAAAAATAATAGAAGAAAACAATAACGAAAAGGCTAGTGAAAACTAATAGTTGACCGCGTTTAGTTCCGGTTTGTGGACGTATATAGTGCGCGTGGGGGGATCCGATTGTTAGTTCCCTTTGAGGAAACCCGATAATTGCCCGTGATGATTAATACGTGCTCGGACTGAAACGGAATGACTTTTTTCCCCGAGCACATTAAAAAAAGAGAAAAAAGAGTAAAAAAACAGCTCGTGCGTTTCGGGGTCTACCCTCGAGACGATGATATGCACGCAAGTGCACAAGCCCAAACGCGCATGTCCGTTATCCCGGTGTTAAAAAAAAAAAACACTAAAATATTTCATCACGAAATCATCAAATACGAACACAGTTGTAAAGTCGTGTGATAGTCAGTACCTCTCACACTCTAGCAGATCATAATTTACATAATACTATACAAATGACATTGAAAACGTACATTAACATATACTATATAATTTCATTTCCTACACAGTTGATAGAAATAACATCAATCATGCGTTTGTCGATCGACCGTCCAAAATAATAATACATTTAATAACTATTACTATTGACTTTGGTAAATAAATGACGATAAATGTTAAAGAGAAAATTCAAAATTCAACATTAATTGTGTCCAGTTGGAATGGCCATCACAGTTCTGTTTACTATTTTTGTTTTTTATTTGGAAATTATACAATCTGTAATATATTTAATTACAATAAGCATACAAGATGATTTTAAGGTAAACAGATATATAATAATATATTGAGACAGTAGACTTGATAGAAGGGGCCAGCCAGTGCTGGTACTTTATGACGTGTGAAATCGTAGATTTTTACTATTTAATTGTCATATATTGTGGCACATTTGATGTATACCTACCACATAAATAGCAATTCATGTGTTTAAATTTTATTAATTTTCATGTATTCTGTAATTATTCTGATACCCGACTAAGAGATTTAATTACAATCTATCCACTCCGAGGGTAAATTTGAGGATAATTTAGTCGTGTAATTATTATAAAATAATATACTTCCCGTTTAATGTTGAAAAGCTTTTTGAATTACAGATTAAAAAATAATTGTTTGCGGTTGAGTTAAAACAGGTGACAATTTTACTTATATTGTAATTATACTAATAAAGTAAACTTTCCGGTTGTTCGACAATCGATAGGTTGGATATAACGCATAACCAACACAAGGACATGCACTATGAAAGTATGGTTTTCCTACAAGTAATAACTAATAAAAGTAGTATGTACTTAGGAAATACATAGTCAAGTTAAACGAAATAATTACACAAACATTAAATGTTATTCGGTCTAGGGATAAGACTTCAAAAGTCATAAATAGATAAATCTACCTATTTATTTGGGAAAATAAATAGATAGATGAGCTAAATAGAAATATTGTACAAAAAATGTATCTTCAAAATAATAACTAAAAGAATATTTTTTTTTTGAAATCCGGTAAGTAATAATTAATTTTTCAATATTTAGAACCTTTGTAGGTTGTAACATAAATGAAAAAAAAAACACCTTTCTTGCTCCATTTTTTTTTTTTTTTTAATTATATTTTGATTAATAAGTGGTTATTTGTACATTATTTGCATGTGTTGATTTTGAGCATTTACAAAAAAAAATTCTAGTAATCATTCCAAAAATAATTGGCCAGAACTGACTTTTGCGGTGTGTGGAAATAAAGATTTCTTCGGTTTTCAAAACAACAGCGGTGAGCGGTATTTTTCTTTTGTAGCTTATAGGTTTTTTGTTTCTCTAATTATTAAGACAAATATTGCTGTTGTAAACTGACCTGTTGAGCGTAGAAAGAAATTTTCCGTTATGCAAGAAACTGCGAAAGTTCGATGCGTGTTTGCCGCCGCTGGTCTGAACGTACGAAAAACGTGTGCTCCGTTTGTGTAAATTATATTTATGAAGACAAAAAAAAAAAAGTTGCGGAATACTTATAACCGTTTAACAACTGTCATTAAGTATGTGTGCACTTGGTAAATGCTAAACTTCGCAAAGTGGAAGCCGAAGATCAACTGACGCCTGCACGAAGGATATTAAACGCGGCGCGCGTGAGCCACTCATCTGTTCGACCAGAGCCGGTGCATCTTCGTTTGAGTAGGAAATAAAAGAGGGCGGGCGATACCGCCGTTAAGTACGATATACACACATCTGACACCACACACACACACACTTGTATTTTCTTCTGTTATTATACGTTGTTTGTATACAACAATATAATTTATATATATAATGTGTACAAAGCGATAACCGCGAAACTGTGAAAGCATGTCGTAAATCATTAACGTTTATATTTTTTAAAGTTAAAACTGTACACGTTTATCATACATATATTAATAATAATCGCGGTCGACCGGAGTTCGTTTGTTTTCTTTTAAATAGTACATAAAAAATACAAGCGTTGTGGATTTTCCATTACGAATTGATATTAAACGTCCATCAGTCGCGTTAACACGGACACCGAATAACATTGTTAACGAAAACAATACTAGGTACAATTATTATTATATTGTTCTTTACTATAGCGTCATAATTATCACTCTTTAACGTGTCCACCATAGTCATACGGTTACCAAAGCCAATTCGTATTACAGTGTATATTTTCCTCGATCGGCGTTTGCAAGAAAATACTGCTGCAATATAGTGTGTGGCGTCAGTCGAATCGATAACATTGGCCCAAAAACTTGTATTTCTTTCTCCGCGTCAAGTGTATATTATACCTAGTGAGTTGTTATTTTTGTGGTTGTTACTGTTTATTGTACACTTAGGGAGCGAGCCGTGTGCACTATACATCCACCCCAAATTTGGGGGGAGAGGGGTGAGAGGGAATCGTTGTCCTGCGCGCAAATATATATGTATACATACTTACCAAAGCAACAACGATATAATGCACTCTTTCCGATCGTTAAAGGTCTGTCGACCGCATGTATTTATTATGTACTTACACCCCCATCTTTGGACTTCATGACTCAAAGTAGTAAGTGAATAATAAGTTTAAAAAAATTAAACAACTGTGTTTGTATGTGTGTTATACATTATTGTAACATGCTCGAAGGATTTTCCACCAATGGTCGGTCGGTCGTTGCATCTTTTTATTTATGCTTTATGTATGTACTATGAGTATAAGTATTGCGCATGATCTAAATAAAAAAATATTGTCTATGCTTTTATCTGAATAAATTTGTTTAGTCACTATCTAGGACTAGGTACAATAAATGAATCTGACATACTCGTATGTTATCTTATTTAGACAGTTTAAAAGTATTAATCTCGCACAAGATATTTCAACATGTTATTTTAAAGACGACGCGACGATAAAGTCAGAATTAGTCAGTCTAACTTACTTTTGAACCTTCATTTACTTCATAATTACATATTAATTATTCACTTTTCCTCCCAAAAAGGAAAAAATTGATTCATTATTTTTACTTTTCAAGCTGTGAATTGGACAAAAAACAATTTTTTTTTTTTAGTTATAGTTTAAACCTCTTTAATTTTAAATAAGGAAAGCCTATATGATGTTTTCCTGAACTATAAAAATTACATTAAACAAATTATCATGCCTACAAGACGTATTCTCCCAGGAAAATTATTTGAAATGATGTTGAATAGGTATATAAATAATTTTTTGTATAGTTTTAAACATACAGATACAACATTTCGCCGCTAAAACAGGAGAACGGTGGAATTAAAAAAAGAATCACAATAATTGCAATATTTTTTTACTCATTTCAAACCTATTTTTATGGATATTCAGCATGAAGTGAAAAATTTCCGACCTCCTTTGTAGCTTTGATAAGGTGATAATATATTTGGTTTTACCCACAGTGGTACTTGGACGGGCTTTTCTATATAACATATATTTTGCACTTATTGAATCGACAACAACCGAACGGTAGTATCGGTTGTAATCATAAAAACGAGATCAAAAAACGGGATTTTTTATTTTTTTGTTCAACTCACATAATATATACCGCACGGGTCAGACAATGACACGTACATCCGAAGTATGTGAGAAACGTATTTAATATTTTTTCACTGCAATCGTACAAAAAAAACATATTACATTAGTATTGTATACATTTCTCCGTGCAACGACTGTACCTATATACACATACAAGTATTCAACAAATATAATATTATGTTGTCCTGATTTTATCGTTTCAATACCTTTTTTTTTTCTCAGTCTCTTCATGCGCTCGACAGTTTAATAAAAATTATCGCCATGCTTGTAAGTTGACTTGTAAGTGCAGTTGACTTTTGGGGACACTACCCGATAGTTGTCGGTTGGATATCCAACAGATTTTTGTCTATATCCAGCCTTACACTTACTCGGTGGCGCTTATTAAGGAGCAATCAAATGCCGTGTTAGGCCCTAGATAAATAATTTATTTTTATCTAAATGCAATGCCTTTTTGAACACCTACGTGATAACACAATATTATTATAGGACTGAACGATGTCTAAGATCTAACACAAAAGGGTTACCACCTACATGGTTATAATAGGGAACGGATCCCTATTTCAGTCGTATCTACTATACTTCCATACCTAATAGATACCAAAGATACCTAAATTGCATACCTAACGCAGCTAGATCTTATTATAATAATTATAATCTATCCAAAAACTTTCCCATTAAATAATATCCAATGACCGCACAAAATTTATAATTATTTCCTGTCAAAAAAAAAAAATGAAACTTTTTACTTGAACAAATATTAACACATATAATATGGGACATTCTCTTTATCAAACACTATAAAATAAGTTGTATTCCATTAACTGTATTAATTTAACAAAAACAAATAGAGGTGTCAAATCAGTGTCGTTCGTCGTACCATGTTTCTCGCGTTGTATCATGAATTTTCTATCTTGGGCTTATTTTCTATTTTTTGAAACGTCAAGTGGGGACTGAGTTGCTTACATGACTTCTTTTTATTAACCGTATTATTTTTGGCTAATATTAACAGTAATAATAGTATAAAATCATATTTGCGCTACGTAATGATTTGTACTGCCATTCCGGCCTTGACTGAAGTCTGTCGTATTCAAATCACTGTTTACAAATTAAAAAAGAAGCGTTTTACTTGATTACATAGTTTAATCAAATATAATAACACTATACTCATTGGGGTATTTATTATGAGGTTGGTGTACGTCAAGTGTAATAGATGCGGTGTGATCGATGACTGTATAGCTTTGTCTATAAAATAATAACAATATCGCAGCGTCGTTTGTGCGATGCACGTGCAATTAACTCTGAAGACTGTGCAACAAATTAATCTCAAAGGCCATGGTATGTTATTTCGTTATTAGTTACATCAAGTACTTACTTGAGTGCATATTGGTACGGTTGAAGTTCTGTATCGGATCTCGAGTGCGTTGCAGTGTACAATACATGCGTTTCATTGCGTAGATGGTCGAAACGGATAATAAAAAAAAAAGATAGCATTTTATTCGAGTGGGTCATAATACATATTATCATTATAATATGATCTGTTCGGATAAACTGCAGTAGTTGTTTATCGAAAAAACATTACTACAAAGAATTTGCCATACGCATAATATTATTTCATCGGCTAGGTACAACAGCAGTTAACCGGTTCGTAACGGTCCGGTTTATTATTATTATTACCATTATTAAACGGCTTAATATAATATATCAAAGTGAAGTGACTGAAACTGGTTATTTTTTTTTTAATTTGATTTCAGACCGATCTGTATTTTGGCCCATTAGCCGTCGTCTGATACACGTTTGATGGTGTATAAATCATACCACCGCAGCATAGTGTACAGGGCGACCCGTCTGATCATATTTATGGAATTAAAAACCTATGTTCAAATTTTCAAAGTATTGATAATTGATATACGTGTATAGTAAATTGTAAAATATGTACCTAGGTATAGAAAAAAAAAACTAATATTGTACATAATATATGTTTCCAGAGAAAACGAGCGCTTACTGTCACCGTGCATTACCATACGACATTATAAATAATATTTGACTCGCATTGGCCAAAACTTCTTTGAAGATATACATGCTATTTTGGTTCGAACGTTTTCTCGTGATATTTTCATTATTATTCTCATTTCTCAGCTGCCGAGTATGTGCGCTTTCAAGTTCATTGTTCTCATATTATAGGCGCCCGTCTCCGCAAGATTAATGTGTACACATATATTTTAATTACGAGACGCGGGTGATTTTCGTTTTGTTTTTTTCGTTCCTACAAATATAATTAACGCTCATAACTTACTACTTAAGAGGGTGTATATTATTTATTCTGTACTCCCACGCGTCAATGCAGTTTATGGCGATAGTAACATAATGATAATAACCTTTAAAACCACGACGATTTATGAGCGTCGTCGTCGGGGCGTACTATTGTAAATACGCAGATCATTAAGAAAACGGTCTTAAAAATAATCTGAGCGAGTATAAAGGAACATATGCAATCGTTATTACTACTGACCATGTATACATACATGCAGGTGCTCCACTAGGTACCTAGGCCATTGCAGTTTCATTACAGACCAGTTAATTTTTTTTTTTAATACAGTTCTTTAGAAATTATAATAAACGAACGATGTAAAATTTGTAAAATTTTAAAAAGTCATATTTTCCGATCTATATATTTTAATTGCGCTGTAACTTATTGATCAATTATTTCGTATATGTTACCAGGCATTATTTTTATCATTAGTCTTTTTTCTATTCTTAATATAGCGACATAAATGATTGAATTTCAGAATATACACGTATAAAATCAATTTAAAAAGACTTTATAACCCCTATTTATTAAGGAGTTTGGTATAGGCAATGTATTTACAAAATCCTAACTTAAAGCTTAATGTGTAATTATTAGTTCAGTAATTAAGACTCTTTTTTGGTAGTTATTTTTTTTTTTTACTATCATAGCAGCCTAGATAGCGATTTTAAGAATTTTTTTTAAATATGCAGAATGCGTCTTACTCGGTACATGATAGTTTTAGAGCAAAACCACTAATATGAAACCTACTATAAAATATGTTGACATTTTAAACACAATGACCTATTCTTTATTTTAAAATGTTCATTATTTAACTTGATACCTGTAGTTAACAATAGTGATACATTTTTTCTAAGAATTATTTTTTAAAAAGGATACGTCGCATGCCTCCAAAATATTGTTCTCTTTCATAATGGTGTATCCTCATCATCGTGGTTTTGCTCTGAACCCATCATGGCCAAAGTAAAACACATTCTGTGTAGTCGGGTTTTTAACCTAGAAAATGAGGGCGGAAGGGGGTTTTAAATAAAATAATAAATAAGAAGATCCATCTGAAAATGATTCTTTACATTAAGTGTCCTCTCCGATTTAATCTACTCAGCGTAACATCCTCTCAGTAGAAACCGAACTCGACAAAATATAATACTTATCAGTAGAAAATAATACATTTTTTTGAGTAAAATCAACTACAAAATTGTATCATCACCTTTTTTTTAGCGTGTATAGTGCATACATATATAATTATAAAACTGTGTAGGTCGTATACGTTTGTTTACTTGCAACTAATGAAGCGTATAGATAGTTATTCTAATTTTGGTGGGTTCTGAATACATTAAATTACAAATTTTGGTTTATCATGTTTTACAACGATGTACACAAACAAGCGTACATTATGTTATTTAGATAAATGGACTGGTATACCCGCAGATTTAAAATTCTGTATAAATAATATAAATGTATAGTCCAAATAAACAAAGCTTATGAATTGTGTGAGATGACTGATAAATGATGACTAATGAGAGCGGACAACTTCTTTAGCGCCGTTGTGTGTGGGAATCAAACTGGACATTACTAAGTAGACAAGCCAACATAACAAGTAAAACGCCTTACTCACTACGCCACACAAGTCGACAGGTTTTTTTTTTCACAATGGCCATAAAACCTTACTTAAGAAAATCTATATGAAAATAATTTGATTTAATTGTATTATTTTAATGGTTGAATTTACATGTTTATGTTCAAATCAAAAACAATGTATTAGGTGTTATAATTACTAGTAAACCACTATGCAAAATGCTTCGATGCAAGTCTTGTAGTTTTTAGAACTTAATAACTAAATTTAGCCGAGAAATGTTTTAACATTGTATTACAATTACGCCATTGTTTAATGTGATCAGACAATTTGTAAACCTTATTATTAAATTGTATTTTAATTTTCATTGTCTTGGCAATTTATTATGGGTTTTGGTATTAATAGAGTTTTATATTGTAATACATTGTAATTATTATTATTTAAGATTATAGAATTAACAGTGATAGGTATATTTTGTATGCTAAATTCTTGTAAATTATGTACTTTTTTAAGTTTTAATTTCAACGATTGTCATTATTAAAGTAAATTAGCAAACTCCAAAACGAATTTAAGCCAGCGGTTTCAGAGAGTTTCTAAAAATTCTATAGACATCAATGTTTGTTTGAACATGTAACCTTTTCGATTGTTCTCCCAGTTATAATGTATTGGTGGAATGTTCGATCAGAGACTCTGTGATTGTTTTATAAAAAAAAAAAAATGTATTGTTTTTTAAACGGATTTTTATTGTTTTCTCCCGAGTAATATGCACACACACACATATGCAGTTCGTTTACACCGGTTAGTGTGTAATGCACACTAAAAACATTACACACACATTTAGTTAATTGCCTTTTTTTTATATATATATATATATATATAACATACCTATACCCGTACAACAGTGGCGAGGATCTCGAGAACGGCAAGACGGTGTATTACTATATTATTATTGTACGGCAAACGTGTTTGCTAGAGTAGGTATATAATAATATTATCTAAGATCTATAAGAAACGCATAGCTACATAATACCCGCGGTTGTATAGTGCAGTGCGTGTGCGTCTGCCGTCTGATCCAACGCGTCGATCAATCATTCTAGTGGTACTACACGCGCGTTCGAAATACCTTGTATATATTTACACACTATGCATATAGAAGACCGGATCGGTGGCCTGTCTATTGGGCCGGCTTATAGCTGTTAATGGGAAAAGAATATAGGTATAGAAAAAAGAAAAAAAAAGCAGCAATAGGTATTATTTTGCACGGCTCTAGTGTTGTGCGCGAGGAATAAAAAATAATAGTATAACGTTATGTGTTTTCAACACAAAAAATAAAAAATACATGTAATACGTTTGGGCTGTGGCTATTGTCAATCCCTTCGGCTGTACACATAAAACACCCATAAGACATTGTATTGGGAAAAATAATTAAAAATAACGTTTTTTTCCAGCTCATCGTAGTGCCCCGTGGCGGTTTTGGCATTGAATTTCGTCCGGAGCTCGATCAATTACATTAGAAGCGAGCAGAATTTCTAATTATAGTATTAGTCGACAAAAACTACTTGTTTTACAGGAGTTTATGCCAGCGTAGCTCGCCTTCTATCCTGTGGGTCAACGATGCTGAAAAATGAAATTTAATTCCAAATAGTTACTAATTATATTTTTGTTATCATATAATATTGTGTTTGTAAAGAAAATCCAAGGATCCAGCTCAAAAAAATTATCCTCTTATCTTGCGCCATAGATATGTAGCGCTCATTAACTCTGAATAAAAAAAAATCGAATGACTGTACTAAAAAAAAATAGATGCAGATTAAATGTGTAGCTTAATTAATTAAAAATGTGCGAAAAATTGCCTATACAGAACCCCTAATAAATAGGGGTTTTTTAACGCAAGTAATTTATTGAGGAGTAAAGTATAGGTAATTTAATAATAAACAAATTTTCAATACCCTACCAACTTTTTCAAAAACAATGTTTTCAACAACAACCATTAAAATATTTTATTTATGTATATTAATAAATATAAAAGTATTTATATTATAGTTTTTGTTAATTTACTGGTACGTCATTGCAGTAAAAAGTATGCTTACTGTATAAGGTGGCCACGGACAGAGATGATGCCAATAGAACAAATAAAAGACATTGTTTTCTTTACAATACTCAAATTAATTCATTTAAGTTAATCTTAGCTTGTAACTAAAGTCTAAACTAATATGATATAAACTAATAATATAAGCGTGTTAAAAATTCAAACTAAACTAATACATTATTAATTAACTGAAGTCGTGTAAGTGCTTTTTTTCTATTGTCATTAGCAAAAAAACATAATTTACGTTTCGTAAGTATTGTATTGTTTACTAAATACTAGGCACATATTTAAAATGTTTAAGCTGTATTTTCCTCATTGGATGACCTATAAATCCATAAATTTGTTTGCATACTTATAAGATTAGGATTTTTTTTTTGTAATAAATAATTTTTGCAAATAATTCAATTTTTTCTTTTAATATAAAATTACAAATTAAAAAAAAATATATTTATAAATAAAATTAACAATAACAACATTAAATAAATTAATAAATATAAAAAAAAAATTAAATAAAGTAAGCCGCGTTTTAAGTAGATGTATCTATATAATAATAAAGTATTATTATAGATATTATAATCGTGTGGATTTAGTTTTGATTTGAATGTTTACAAGCGTTGAACGGAATCACACTTGTACGTTTGTCACATTTTTATTACGGGTAAATGTTCTGCAACACTTCGGAGTACAGGTTGTCGTAGGCGTTCTGCAACAAAAACACGTCGGTGGGCCTGCCGTTGAACTCGTACGGGCCTTTGTTGAGATTGTACACGTTGGACTGGTGCTGGGGCTGCGACTGGATCGCCGGTTGCGGCCGTCGCTGCGGTTTGGGCCGGGCCTGCTGCGGTAACGTATACACGCCGACGGGCTTGGCGTTGGACATGTATTCCAGCGGCAGGTTGAGGAACGGCGACGTGGGCCGTTGCATGAACGGCGGCGGTTCCAGCCTGGTCGGCTGGCTGACGTAGCCGTAACCGGGCACGTACATGTACGGCTGCGGCGGTAACCGGATAAAGTACACGGGCGAGTCGGGCTTGACGGGCCGCGCTCGGCCGGACAACAGTTCCTCGTCTTCGTCCAGTCCGCCGATAGGCCGATACGACCCGTCGTCTTCGTCATCGCTGTACTGCAGCGCGTTGTACTCGCCGTCCAGGTAGGGCGACTGGTCGAACAGCGATCGGGCTTTCTTACCGTCGGGCGACGGCTTGACTGTCGAGGTTAGTCCCGGGGCCGGCAACGATAAGCACGGAGATACGACGAACATGGCCACCATCAAGCACGTGAGATCCATGATAACCATTGACCGACCTAGAATTTAACAACACAAGCTGTTAGTATTTCAATTGGATTTATGTTCTCGATATGAAGTGTACAATAAAATCAAAATAAATGTCCATTTAAAAAAAAACATTATTAATATTGTTAATTGATAATGTGAAAAAGTGTTGACCCGCGCAAAAGTTTGTTTCAATTGTCTTATTTGATGTACAAAGTTGCAAACGATTGTAATTTTGGCTAATCCACGCGCAAACATAAGTTTTGCAACGCCGGTTAGGTTAATAATGTTTATAACACGTGCAATCGTCGACAAAAGTTAAAATAACGGCGTTATAAATGTCGAATTAAACGGTCTTTAGCTCCACAATATGTAATTAGCGGCTAGCCAAACGCAAAATTACAATTATTATTATACTTTTCACGGGTTGAGATTTCAAATTTCAACTGAACCGACTTACAATTAACAAAATTGTGGGAAATTAGTAATTACAAATTATTCTTCAACAAACTCGGTTACTGTTAGTCTAGCCAACTTAGTTATATATTTAGTTCATAACATTAGTAGATAACAGTTGAATAACTAAAAAATATCGATGTTACACTATTCACATTTTTGTCATTATTAATTTAATTATTTCAATTTTTTTTAAATGATTATTACGTCAAATAATACATAACATTTAATCAATTAAATTAATATTTAAAAACATGATAATATACGCATGCTAGTATGATAACTTTTATGTTATAGAAAAGCAGTAACACAAAAAGAAATTTCCAAGAGAGAAAAATTCATATTAATCTTACTATTTTATTTTAAATACTTGGAATGGACGCGATGAAGATTAGCAAAGAGATCGTGTATAATTTATTTAATGTTAATCTTTTGATTTATTTTTGCAACGCTTTTCGTTTATACGATAATATAAATGAAAAAAAAGATAATCTTATTACAAATTTTGATTGATTGACTTGAATTATTAAAATGGCATGATTATAAGCGATACACGTTTAGCGTTCTTTACAACTTTCTCATAAAACACACGATAACATATTTTTTAAATGCTATAGGACACCGTAAGGTTTGTAAAATACCTCAAAATACTTTTTTATGAATATAAATAATAATAAACCACTTTCTTAGTACACTCTCTTGTTGGTATTTTCTTTCAGCACATTAAGAAAATAACTATAGTATTTTCTAAAAGAAACTGTCGCGGACACATGATTACTATATTATTTATAAAAATTAACAATGACACAATTTTTTAAATTAAGATAATAGTTTTAGCATAGATTATTATTATTAAGATTATTATTAATTTTAACATTTTTCATTCGGTTGTATAATTAGTGTAATTTCTAGGTGCCCACAATGGCCCTGAACAATCGTTTACCTATATTTCAATAACGTTTATTAATGGCCCGGCTACATTGTTTTCAACAAAATTTAAAAAAGTGATTCGGAACGTGAAAGCACATAATAACTACATACCACAACCTATACCCGGATGTTTGGTATTAACCATTTTGGGGGTAATTGATTGCATGTTAGCAACGAGTTTGAACTAATACCTTTTCCAGCTAACAATTTCAATATTTAATGTCGAATATAGTTGGAAATCAAATCTTATTCCACAGTGGATTCTGAACGACACAAACATAAAACAAATATCGACATTACTAAGTAATACATTTTGAAAACGGTTTTTTTTTTCAAATGAAAAACCCATCGAGGTGCTAATTTAGACAATAATAAGACCACCTTAACGAACAAACGGGGCTGTACGGTTTCTTTTTCGTGACGGATGAAGGAATACCACTGATTATATATATATCATAATAAATAATAATAATAATAATAATAGCATATAGTCAGTGGCTATACAGTGTTACATTTTCATTGTAGAACACACACGACCGGTGTTATAGTTGTTCACGCCAGTTTGATCCATTAAAAAAACTCTATGGTGTTGCGCTTTCGAAATCAGTAAAAATGTTTACATTTATCATGTGTACCTAATTCCGTCAAACCAACGGCGCCGATCCCGGAGCTTCTACACACCTATCTGATTTTGTGTTTTTCGACGTGCAATCGGTCAAACCGGTGTATACTACACCTCTAATCGATATGATGTAATTAGCCATTTATAATATATCATATATCTCGCATATCTGCGCAAACGGTATTATAATAATATACGGATAGAGTCGACGACGGTGGTTTCATAGACGATTCGCTAATTGCAGATCATGCTAGATATTTATCAGTAAGTACATATATATATATATATATGTATATATTTATTATTATTATTATTATTATAGGTAGGTCGGGTCAAACGAGTGCACTGGCCCGACGGCCTTGCAAGGTCGAATTCTTTTTCTGGAAATCACGTCCACCGATCGGCACAACAACGTTTCTTGGGGATTTTTTTTTTTTTTTTTAAAAAGCAAGTAAGACAGCCGTAACCTGACTCGCTCACGCCTATCCCGGTCGACGTGTAATCGCGATAATGATAAACATATAAAATATACAATATTATGACAACACGCGGTCCTACACGCTTGTGTTGTAAACGAAGAGGCGACCATGATGATAATCATAATAATAATGTCAACCCCTTTGACGTACGCACGTCGTACTTAGATAACGGCCCGAAAAAACGTGAAAACGTTAGATAACCGTGGCGATGACTTGCTAGAGCGACGAAAAACGGATTTAAAACTGCCGCTGTTGGTCTGGACGAGTCGACAAATTTTAAATACCATAAAAAGGTCAAGGATAAGACGCTGGGTTGCTCATGAAACAACTGTAATATAATAGTTTTGCTTTTTGGAAACACCATTTTAATTTATGTTATTTTACAATTCTAAATAGTTTTCAAAAAAAAAAAACGTTTTCTTTTTTTTTCAGAGATCTGCTGACTTTATAAACTTAAATAGTTACGTATAATTATATTCAATTGACTTTGAAAATTAATTAATAATATGCGGACATTTTTTGGTTGATAACCCGTTTGGAATAATAATTAATTTTAAAGTTACCAAGTTTAAAATTTAGGACGGGAGGTTATACTGCGAAATTGGAATTTATTATTTTAAGAAAAATTAGTATCTTATCACCTTGTATACATACATAGGTCCTGAGCCCCCGAAAAATGTTAAAACATCAGCTGTCAATGAGATTATATGCGAATAAAAAAAACATTAAACACTAACTACTTACACCGTACCTGATGGATCAAAACTGCAATGGAAAAACGACCAATGTAAATTGGTCCAACAGACAAAATAAACAAATTATTTTTTTCAATCACTACAACCAAAAATAGTTTCAAAAAAGATCATTGACTTACACAGGTGAATTATTTTTCTAACCATGCAATTATTTTTCCTTAGGCCATGATTTAAAAATATTGTTTTTTCATTAGGGGTCTATATTATCACTAAACTCACTTTTTTCTAAATTTAAAAGTAGCTACTGTAAGTTCAAGATTTTTTTAATCAGTTGAATATTGACCAAAAGGTTTTTCCTTATTAACGAAAATAACTAGAAAATTACTTTTTTCAAAACAGGTTTTCGATCAAGTTTAAACTAGTAATTTTACATGTGGCTATTCTGTATATAATTTTTAAGAAGTGTAAACGGAATATTATATGTGCTCTCTCGACGGAGATCCCGACAGGGTCAACCTGGCTCTTGTTATCGTTCATCCGCCATCACAGAAGTCTGTGGACTGCGTATGCCACTGTCGCCAAGTACAAATAAATGTATACCTATGACTTGATTATTATGACTTATTTATGATGTCAAATATTGGCAGTTAATCGAAGCGGCGGGCCGACTCGTTGAATCCGGCAGATTCGATTTGCTTACATTATTAATTATTGAAGAATATATTATTCGGTCACGGTGTTATCCGAAAGAATCGATCGTGTTTCTTCTCCACGACCGATAACACAATAAGAAGAATATGATAATCTTATACTCTGGTAATAATCGTCGTAATATATGTATACATATATTGTCCGGACATCAACTTCATCGCCATCATAATACTAACGATATTATCCCGTACACGCGTTCGTGCATAAGTGTGATTGTGTTTATATGATACATCATATATATTATATATGGGCAGCTCTAGTAACGTCGACTGACCGTCAGCTCGTAAGTATACAAGCACACACACACACACATGGTACTTGTATATGCACAATGGCGATTTCTAATAAGCTGGTTTTCTCCGAACGGACATGCCGTGTGTGTATAAACAACGGGAAAATCTGGATTGGGAAAAAAATATAAAGTTCAACGTCTGCACGCGTCTCGAGACCCGCCAAGAGTTTATTACAGACATTAGCGTTCCGCTGCTGTTGTTTTATTAATATATTACCCGAAAAAAAAAAAATAACAACAACCACCGTCCGGATATCGGATTAATGCCCGACAAGGTGATGATATGGACATTGGACGGACAATGGGAATATATTACAATGTGTTATACAGGCCTACCGCCTACCTACTACGGATAACGGGTACCTATGTCGATTTTCGGTACTACGTGAGAGTAAACAAACGGTTTTCTTATTAAAAAAAAAAAAAAATAGATACACCTGATCTACGGAATTGCATTTGGAGTCATTCCGGACGGACGATGTCCAACGACCAAATCGGAAGTTAACGGTAATAATATTATAACGACAGAATCGGCCCCATGTATTGTTCTCATATTAATTAACAGTTCAATATATTAAGTAAATAAGCCGAATTCCCAAAACAAAACAACATCGTAGGTAATGTTCATAGTATCTTTTAATAAGGAGGAAATCAGTTGTTCAACAGTCGAATGTTAAAATTATCGATTGTTCCGGAATGCCTCCGATATGTAGTCTAATTTTTAATAACGCTGATAAAGCAACGCAAAGAGCCGGATGAGTTGTCCGTGGAAGTGTGGGAAGCGATAGGAAGTTACCGAATCGAGTGGTTAGAAGTTGGGAAAAATGGGGAATTTTTAAGATTTTGA